AGTGCTGCTTCTAAGTGTGAGGTTGGAGATATTCTGGAGAGTGCTGCTTCTAAGTGTGAGGTTGGAGATATTCTGGAGAGTGCTGCTTCTAAGTGTGAGGTTGGAGATATTCTGGAGAGTGCTGCTTCTAAGTGTGAGGTTGGAGATATTCTGGAGAGTGCTGCTTCTAAGTGTGTGGTTGGAGATATTCTGGAGAGTGCTGCTTCTAAGTGTGAGGTTGGAGATATTCTGGAGAGTGCTGCTTCTAAGTGTGAGGTTGGAGATATTCTGGAGAGTGCTGCTTCTAAGTGTGTGGTTGGAGATATTCTGGAGAGTGCTGCTTCTAAGTGTGAGGTTGGAGATATTCTGGAGATAAACTGGAGGTAATCTGAGGTATTCAGGAGGACTAAAAAATACAAAATTTAAGATTTGTTTGATTTAAATTATTCTCCTAATTGGAATGTTAGACTTAGTTCAGTGTAATAGTTGATATGCATTTGTTTCATGTTCCACTTTTTGGAGGTTTGGTTGTTGTCTAATCTGTAGACAGTTCTCTATCTTGCAAAAATAAGGTATAAATGATTATACCAGACAAGTGGAGCGCTCTAAGCAATGAAAGGGTTTACTCACCCCCTTTTTAGTGCAGTGACAATCTTGAGAAACTTACATAGACATAAAAGGGGGAACAAGAAAAAGAAAAAAATATAGTGCAGACGGTTTATCCAAACAGACAGTTAATGGTAATAAATGACTAAGACCACTCACATGGACAGGAGCCTATATAGTATTGCTCTTTGGGCAGCAAACACCCCTTTGTCCCAGGCAGTATCACTCCAGGAGTATACAGCGAGAGAGAAAACAGAGAAGCAACTGTGTAGAAAGGCACATACTATATTGGTATAAAAAAGGGTATAAATAATAGTGCTCACCTTTTCCAGAGCCCTGAAATCCCGGCTCTGAGGTTAGAAAGCAATGTGCTATTTGTGGGGGGGAATAGCACTCTCCCCAATGGAGTTCCTGACGGCTAGAAAGGACTTTGGACTAAAATATAAAATAATAGTAATGTATATATTTATTAACAATAAAAACAAAATAAATACATACTAGAAAATAAAAAATCAAGTTGAAGTCCAATTAAAAGTTTAAAATAATCAGCTAAACGCGTTTCACTCTATGAACTTCCTCAGTAGCTGTTTTGTAAGTGTCTCAAGATTGTCACTGCACTAAAAAGGGGATTAGCAAAGCCTTTCATTGCTTAGAGCGCTCCACTTGTCTGGTATAATCATTTCTACCTTATTTTTGTATTTGTTTTTTATTGTGGGTAAGGGTTATTCAACTTTTAGTGTTGAGCAGCTTTTATCTTTTAGGCACTGTTAAGTAGCACTTTCTATCTCTTTGAGATAGCTCGTTTGTTTCACATTAGTTCTCTATATTGAGGCAGGAGATTGTATTTTTGAAGTCTGAGATTTGTAAATTATCTGGTGAACAAACTCAGGCTGGAACTGCCACTGCCGCAGAGACATACTAGGAATGGCAGATGGATTACTGTAGGATCTGGTAGGCTTAGAGTTGTGGATAAAAGACATTTTGCAGAGTCTGTTGCTCTTCATAATTCATTTGGAGCCATTCTCAGGCACCAGGTGTAGTGGTGTTATGGAGACAGTCACTGAGGGTAGTGGTGTTGTGGAGAGAGCTCATGAAAGATTCATGAACTTGTGGCAATAATGGCAACTGATAATGTAGATTTGGTCGCTGTTACTGAGACATGGTATAATGAGAAAAATGACTGGGACATAGCAATACCAGGGTACTCTTTATATAGAGGAAACAGGGAGGGCAAGAAAGGGGGAGGGGTGGCCCTGTATGTGAAGGATAGCATAAAATCTAGCCTAATAAAAGTTAGTGAGGCGAACATAGAGTCCGTTCGGGTGACGTTAGAATTTGGTAATCACACAGTAACTCGTGTAGGTGTGATTTATAGGCCTCCAGGACAAATTGAAGAGTTAGATAATCTACTAGTTGAGGAAATAGCTAAAATGACAATGAAGGGGGAAGTTATCATCATGGGTGACTTTAATCTTTCTGATGTGAACTGGAATACCAAATTAGCTGCTTGTGCCAGGAGCACACATATTCTAAACTCCCTACTGGGATTCTCTCTACAACAAGTCGTTGAGGAGCCAACTCGTAAGGAGGCCATACTAGATTTAGTGTGAACAAATGGAGATTTGGTATCAGATATTACTGTAGGTGAAAGTTTAGGATCCAGTGATCATCAGTCAGTGTGGTTTAATATAAGAACAGTGACTGAGTCACACCACACAAAACCAAAAGTTTTAGACTTTAAAAAAACAGACTTTTCTAAAATTATAGTATGCGTAAAGGAGTCATTATCAGATTGGAGCAATTTAAAGGGAGTCCAAGAGAAATGGGATTATTTAAAAGTTACACTGCTGAAGGCAACAGAAAATTGCATCAGGCTTGTCAGTAAAAGCAAAAAACAATATTAAAGCATGGGCTTGCCACCAGTGGGGTACCTCAGGGATCTGTACTTGGACCCATTCGCTTTAATATTTTTATTAGTGATATTGCAGAAGGTCTTGATGGTATGTCTTTTTGCTGATGATACTAAGATATGTAACAGGGTTGATGTTCCAGGAGGGATAAGACAAATGGCAAATGATTTAAGTAAACTAGAAAAATGGTCAGAATTGTGGCAACTGATATTTAATGTGAATAAGTGCAAGATAATGCATCTTGGACGTAAAAACCCAAGGGCAGAGTACAGAATATTTGATAGTCCTAACCTCAACATCTGAGGAAAGAGATTTAGGGGTGATTATTTCTGATGACTTAAAGGTAGGCAGACAATGTAATAGAGTAGCAGGAAATGCTAGCAGAATGCTTGGTTGTATAGGGAAAGGTATTAGCAGTAGAAAGAGGGAAGTGCTCATGCCATTGTACAGAACACTGGTGAGACCTCACTTGGAGTATTGTACACAGTACTGAAGACCGTATGTCTCAGAAGGATATTGATACCTTAGAGAGGGTTCAGAGAAGGGCTACTAAACTGGTTCATGGATCGCAGGATAAAACTTACCAGGAAAGGTTAAAGGATCTTAACATGTATAGCTTGGAGGAAAGACGAGACAGGGGATATGATAGAAACATTTAAATATATAAAGGGAATCAACACAGTAAAGGAGGAGACTATATTTAAAAGAAGAAAAACTACCACAACAAGAGGACATAATCTTAAATTAGAGGGGCAAAGATTTAAAAATAATATCAGGAAGTATTACTTCACTGAGAGGGTAGTGGATGCATGGAATAGCCTTCCACCTGAAGTGGTAGAGGTTCACACAGTAAAGGAGTTTAAGCATGCATGGGATAGGCATAAGGTTATCCTAACTATAAGATAAGGCCAGGGACTAATGAAAGTATTTAGAAAATTGAGCAGACTAGATGGCAGGGCCGGACTGGCCCACCGGGATACGGATAAGGGCGGGAGAGCAGAGCTAGCGCAGCTACCCCAGCGGCCGCCAGCAGACCTCCCCCAGCGGCCGCCAGCAGACCTCCGCTTGGCAGGTATTAGTAATGTGTGTCAGTGTTTGTCTGTCTGTCTGTATCATAGTGTCTGTCTGTATGGTGTGTGTGTGTGTCTGTCTGTGTCATGGTGTCTGTCTGTCTGTACGGTGTGTGTGTGTGTCTGTCTGTCATTGTGTGTATGTCTGTCTGTGTCATGGTGTGTGTATCTGTCTGTGTCATGGTGTGTGTGTCTGTCTGTCCATCATGGTGTGTGTGTCTGTCTGTGTCATGGTGTGTGTGTGTGTCTGTCATGGTGTGTGTGTGTGGCTGTCATGGGGTGTGTGTCTGTCCGTCATGGGGTGTGTGTCTGTCCGTCATGGGGTGTGTCTGTCCGTCATGGGGTGTGTGTGTGTGTCTGACTGTCATGGGGAGTGTGTGTGTCTGTCATGGGGTGTGTGTGTGTCTGTCTGTCATGAGTTGTGTGTGTGTCTGTCTGTCATGGGGTGTGTGTGTGTCTGTCTGTCATGGTGTATATGTTTGTTTAAAAATAGTGTTTTTGCTCACCTTTTTTTCCCCACGCAGCGTGCTGGTCTCCCCTCGACTGGCCCTGCCTCTATAGCTGAGATCATCAAGCTTGATGATCTCAGCCAATCCAATGCTTTGCCATAGGATTAGCTGCAAAGCCACTCCAATCAGCATCTCCTCATAGAGATGCATTGAATCAATGTATCTCTATGGGGAACGTTCAGCACCTACAGAGTGTGGAGGCCCTGAATGTAGGTGCACTAACACAGGAAGCACCTCTAGTGACCGTCTGAGTGACTGTCACTAGCAGTGTCACTTTGAAGCAATGTAAACACTGCCTTTTCTCTGAAAAGTCAGTGTTTACGTTGAAAAGCCGTTAGGGACATGCTATAGACACCAGTACCACTACATTAAGCTGTGTGTGTGCGTCTGCTAGTGAGTGAGCTTGCTTGCATGCGTGTGCCTGCTAGTGAGTGAGCTTGTGTTTTTATGTCAATGAGCTGATGTATATCAGTAAGATTGTTTGTCTATGAGGCTGTGTATCAATGAGCTTGTGTGTGTCATTGAGATTTCAGTGAAATTGCCTGTGTCTGCATGTGCGTATGCTTACTGTATAATTAAACGTTTTACCCTGAAAGGACCAATATTTTATATCAGAAAAAGCAATATATATATATATTACTCAATCATCTGTCATGGCAAGACATAGCCTTACATATTACACGCAACAATATATGGCGCAGTGACTTATGGGGCTGGCACACATTTTTTTTTCCAGGGCTGCTTTGTATCCCCAGTCCGGCCCTGCTAGATGGCTAGATAGCAAAGTGACCTAATGACAGTGACATGTTTAATGGGTTAAAGAGACAGTCCCATGTAGGAACAAAGTGACCTAATGACAGTGACATGTTTAATGGGTTAAAGGGACAGTCCCATGTAAGAACAAAGTGACCTAATGACAGCGACATGTTTATGGGTTAAAGGGACAGTCCCATGTAGGAGCAAAGTAACCTAATGACAGCAACATGTTTAATGGGTTAAAGGGACAGTCCCATGTAGGAGCAAAGTGACCTAATGACAGCGACATTTTTAATGGGTTAAAGGGACTGTCCCATGTAGGAGCAGTGACCTAATGACAGTGACATGTTTAATGGGTTAAAGGGACAGTCCCATGTAGGAGCAAAGTGACCTAAAGACAGTGACATGTTAAATAGGGAGAGATATATAAAGTTAAAGAAGGAATTATTCTGATAAACGCTACTTCCCACGAACATTTACCATGATCTCCTGGAGGAGTGTGGAAGCTGGCTTCCTTCCTACCGACTATGGTCCAGGTCGGAGACCCCATTTGGGACTTACCCTGCCCAGCCACCATTATCAGCTTTCCCTCTGTGCCCCTGGTTCAGCACTTTCCCTTTATTTGAATGGAACAAAATGTTAGCTCCCTGGCGGCCGTTTGCATGATCCTCGAATGGTCCTCTGCGGTACTTAGCTGCGGCAGCCATGGAACTAATTTCAGCATGAGGACTTTGTGGTTCCTGGTTACCTCAGTGGCACTTAGCCATGGATGTTATGGAACTGTTTTAGGCATGAGGTGACCTTGCGGTTCCCGGACAACTAGGTGGGACACTTTTTTTATCACAGATCCGAGCCTACCTGTGTTGTGTGTACAGAACACGCCTTTATATGGAGAACACGGCATATTGTATGATTGCAGAGGATTTATCACAGATCCGAGCCTGCCTGTGTTGTGTGTACAGGACACGCCTGTATAGGGAGAACACGGCATATTGTATGATTGCAGAGGATTTATCACAGATCCGAGCCTGCCTGTGTTGTGTGTACAGAACACGCCTGTATAGGGAGAACACGGCATATTGTATGATTGCAGAGGATTTATCACAGATCCGAGCCTGTCTGTGTTGTGTGTACAGGACACGCTTGTATAGGGAGAACACGGCATATTGTATGATTGCAGAGGATTTATCACAGATCCGAGCCTGTCTGTGTTGTGTGTACAGGACACGCCTGTATAGGGAGAACACGGCATATTGTATGATTGCAGAGGATTTATCACAGATCCGAGCCTGCCTGTGTTGTGTGTACAGGACACGCCTGTATAGGGAGAACACGGCATATTGTATGATTGCAGAGGTTATCACAGATCCGAGGCCTGTCTGTGTTGTCAGTGTGCAAGAACAAGCTTGTATAGGGAGGAACAGGCATATTGTATGATTGCAGAGGATTTATCCTGGGTCGAGGGCCTGTCTGTGTTGTGTGTGCAGGACAGCCTGTATAGGGGAGAGGGGCCCGCGATATTGTGTGATTGCAGGGAGGTTTATCACCGGATCGGGCCTGTGTCTGTGTTGTATTATTTTGGGACAATACTGTATGGGGAGGGAACCGACATATTGTATGATTGCAGGAAGTTTATCACGGATCGAGACCTGCCTGTGTTGTGTGTGTACAGGCTGCATGTATAGGGGAGAACAGAGGCATATTGTATGATTGCAGGAGGTTTATCACGAGATCCGAGGCCTGCCTGTGTTGTGTGTACAGGAACCTGCGCCTGTATAGGGAGGAACCGCGGTATTGTATGATTGCAGAGGATTTATCACAGATCCGAGCCTGCCTGTGTTGTGTGTACAGAACACGCCTGTATAGGGAGAACACGGCATATTGTATGATTGCAGAGGATTTATCACAGATCCGAGCCTGCCTGTGTTGTGTGTACAGGACACGCCTGTATAGGGAGAACACGGCATATTGTATGATTGCAGAGGATTTATCACAGATCCGAGCCTGTCTGTGTTGTGTGTACAGGACACGCCTGTATAGGGAGAACACGGCATATTGTATGATTGCAGAGGATTTATCACAGATCCGAGCCTGCCTGTGTTTATTGACAAGCACATGATTGCTCTGGGTAATATTAATATGCTGAAACATTTCTCCTTTATCATTGCACAACTAAACTGATAAAACTGGAACCTTTTTCCAATGATTAAAGGGAAATTATTTGGAGTGTATAATCTATCATCCCTCCTTTCATCCCTTCCTATTACGCCCAATATTGATGTTCTATAATATCATGTTTTTCAATGGGTCCAGTTAGCTGGAAATTATAGGCCCTGTATAGGATTTATCACAGATCCGAGCCTGCCTGTGTTGTGTGTACAGAACGCGCCTGTATAGGGAGAACACGGCATATTGTATGATTGCAGAGGATTTATCACAGATCCGAGCCTGTCTGTGTTGTGTGTACAGAACACGCTTGTATAGGGAGAACACGGCATATTGTATGATTGCAGAGGATTTATCACAGATCCGAGCCTGTCTGTGTTGTGTGTACAGGACACGCCTGTATAGGGAGAACACGGCATATTGTATGATTGCAGAGGATTTATCACAGATCCGAGCCTGTCTGTGTTGTGTGTACAGGACACGCCTGTATAGGGAGAACACGGCATATTGTATGATTGCAGAGGATTTATCACAGATCCGAGCCTGCCTGTGTTTATTGACAAGCACATGATTGCTCTGGGTAATATTAATATGCTGAAACATTTCTCCTTTATCATTGCACAACTAAACTGATAAAACTGGAACCTTTTTCCAATGATTAAAGGGAAATTATTTGGAGTGTATAATCTATCATCCCTCCTTTCATCCCTTCCTATTACGCCCAATATTGATGTTCTATAATATCATGTTTTTCAATGGGTCCAGTTAGCTGGAAATTATAGACCCTGTATAGGGAGAACACGGCATATTGTATGATTGCAGAGTCATTCATCATCCTGTATTCTCTGGCTTAACAGAAAGTATAAGGAGAACTATATGGAATAACAGGAGTTATAGG